AAATTATTCCATTTTTGTAAATTTTTAAAAAGTTGCGCATACGCATGTTGCCATATTCGTAATTCCTTTCTGAACCATTACACAAGAAATTAAAAATAGTGGGTAGCATGGAGAAAGAATCTTCTCTTTTTAAACTGTTTGTACTATTTGAACTTTTTCCTTTGTTAAATTTAATTCAAGCCTGTATTTTAAACTTTCTTTCCCTGAGTAACAGAATATTTGGGGTGGGCAGCGAGTGGGTGGAGAGAAAACGTAATGTCTTCAGAATCTTTCCTTGTCAGTGTGTAGAGACCCACCTCATTCTTCTTCTTCTTCTTTTTTTTAAAGATTTTATTTATTTATTTGACGGACAGAGATCACAAGTAGACAGAGAGGCAGGCAGAGAGAGAGAGAGAGGAGGGGAAGCAGGCTCCCTGCTGAGCAGAGAGCCTGTTGTGGGGCTTGATGTGGGGCTTGATCCCGGGACCCTGGGATTATGACCTGAGCTGAAGGCAGAGGCTTTAACCCACTGAGCCACCCAGGCGCCCCCACCCACCTCATTCTTCTGACTAGTGTCTTGCTTTCCACTGTGAGTTCCTGCTGTGACTTAATCACTAATGGGCATTTATAGCTTATTTCTATTTTTTTGTGAATACGAATAATGCCGTACTAAATATCCTTGAACATTAATCATTGTGCATACATGGACTATTTCTATAATACAGTATAATTGATCTTCTATAGTGTAAATTGCTGGGAGTGGAATTGCTGGTCAACAAGTACGTGCATTTTTCATTTTGATAGATTTTGCCAATTTGCTCTGTAAAAGGGTTGTCCTAGTTTACATTTCCACCAGTAACGGCTGAGTGCATGTTCTTTCGCCCCTTGCCAAGCCTGAGTATTATCTGGATAACATTATTAAGATTTCTGCATTTAAAGAAATTGAAGATTCTTACTGAAAGAAGCTTATTTTTGTCCAATGAACCGAGGAAATATTAATGATGCTTAAGGTGGTTTCTTCAACTTTTATGTGCATAGCCAATAATGACAAAACAAAACAAAAAAAATGTCTACAGTAAAGGGAAGTGAAAGCCTTCTGGATGGTTTTGCGTTTTCTTCTCTGCCCAGCATGTCTCACCTGGACTCACCTGGACTGAGCTCGCTCGCTACAGCTGGTCATCAGAGCACATAAAGGAGCGCCAGTGGCAGCCCAGCCCAGGATGGGACCAGGCTCTGCCGTCAGGCTGGTGAGCAGGCTCTCACAGTGGTGTGGGCGATAAGCAGCTCTTTCTCCCCACCATTTCCATTTTGAAGTGCTCCAAAATGTTGCATGAAATAATTTCCATTTTTTGGTCAGATCATTTGTTTTAGAGATCAGGGTAAAAAGGTTATTCAAATCATTCACCTTCATTTTAACCTTCTTTTCTCTACCTATCTCCATTTGTTTTTGGCATTTCAAAACAGCCTTCTTTGAGATACAATTAGCATACCACGCAATTCACCCAAAGTATATTTACAGAGAGATACAAGAATGACCACAGTAACTCCAGAACATTTTCACTACCCCAAAAAGAAATTGTACCCCTTAACTATTACCCATCTCCATTCCTCCATCTTCCTCTGCTTCCCCATCCCTTTTCTTTTCTTATTTTTTCTTTATTTTTTAGTGAGATCCATGCCCAGTGTGAGGCTCGAACTCATGACCCTGGGATCAAGAGTCTCACATCCCACCCACTGAAGCAGCCAGATGCCCTGCTCCCATTCCCTTTTAAAAACATCTCTCCTGGAGTTCCTGGTTGGCTCAGTCGGTTAAGCATCTGCTTTCCGCTCAGATCATGATCCCTGGGTCCTGGGATGGAGTCCTGACTGCCACTTCCCCTGCTTGTGCTCTCTTGATACGATTTGGGTTGTTTCTGTAAAAAAGAAACAACCCAAAACAACAAACATCTCTCCCAAGATCTTTTCCTGTTCCCCTAATAAGTTTTCAGGCTCTACCCAGACCCTCATCTTCAGGACATTCAGAGCTATCAGCCAAACCCAGTGCATCATGTGCAGTCCTGGGGAGCACAAGCAAAACGCTCCTTAGCTAATCTTAGCATCCTACTCGTAAGAGAACAGGTGCATCTGTGCCCGTTTAGATTAGGAAGAAGCGCATGCCTCCAGTGTGAAGGATGGACTCTGAAATACATGAACAAAGCAACTAACAGCTGTGGAGCAGCCACTGATCACTGACCCTGCTACGGTCACAGCACTCCACAGTTTGCAAAACACTCTCCGGTTGGAAATGGCACTAGTCAGTGTCCGGTGAATTCCCTCTGAGAATGGACACGGCTCTCATGGCTCTTGTAAGAGACACCATTCATGTGTTACTATGTGGGGTCAGCTAAGAAAGACTGTCTGGTAGCCATGACTGTTTGATGTTAGCAAATCTGGCAGACGGATTTTGGCAAGTTAAAATAGCAGCTTTTCTGTAGTCTGTGGTTAATGTGAAGGGGTGGGGTGGGGATGGTCGAGGAGGGGATGAGAGCAGGGGAGGAAGTGATGGGGAGAAGAGCACTGGGTTCTAATCTCAACTCCACAGGCTTTTGAGCGTATCTCTTAATTTATCTGGATCTTGGGTTCCTGAGACTCAATGATCACCTAGTACCTTCTAGACTCTTCAAATTCATCAAAACTCCAAGTGTGAACTTGAGAATTTGTATATTTAGAAACATTCTATCACTTTTACTATTGCTTATTTAACAGGTGGTTATATTTTTATTTTGCAAACTTGATTTGGACTGAATTTTGTGATAACTGTCATCTTTATTATGCAAATAATAATTTGGAACTGACCTGTATTTCATGAAGTGCTTCCCCTCCTAATACACTAGATGGCGCTAGAGGCAAGGCGAACCAGATTCCCCCCCAAAAAGGCAGGGGTTGGGGGGTGGTTTTGACCAGCAAAGTCAAAGTTATTATATATGGTAAATTCAAAAGGCTTCAGTCTTTACCAAGAATCGTTGTGTCAACATCTTCAGAAAGGTGAGCGAATACTGCCAGTGATAAACATCTTAATATCAGGATAGTGTAAGATTTTTTTGTAGAAGCTTTCATACTGTTAGTGTGATCAACTCTAAGATATCTTAGATTGGGGCCCAATCTAAAATATACGTGTTGCTAAAGCAACAGAAGTGCCACAGAACAATGAGCAATCCTAAGCTTTATTCCCTGTCACGAATTCTGAGACAATTCTATTGAACTGAAGGGAAGTCTTGGGGGGATAAAAGGGAGTGTAAATGACACATTTTCAGATGTATTTGATGGTGAGAAAAGTGATGAGGGGTCTTTAGAGGTGTGTTGGTGTTTGAAAATTAGCAATAGGTATACAGAAGAGTAACCAAGCTAAAAAAAAAAAAAAAAAAGAGGCAATTATTCATTCTAAGAAAAACAATGTACAGAAAGAAAAAGTACTTTCTGACTTGGCTGTGAACACTGTTTACATGGTTCTAATAATAGAATCCTGGAATACTGATATCAGTGGCAGGGTAGGGGGAGAAGTTGGATGACTGCTTAGTTTTCATCTACCTTAACGGGGTGTGACTAGTTAATGCCTAACATTCATGTATCATGGAAAACTGACCTATTTAGAAACACGGAAATAAATATCAGCAGAAACAACTAAAGTAGTTAAGGTTGTTGCCTCTAGGGAGGGGTTGGGAGGTGGGGTAGTGGAGTGGGGCAGAGACTATCAGTTTTCCTTAAAAATGCATAGTGCTATTATTCAGCCTTGAAAAGAAGAAAAAAATTGGACACACATGACACCATGGATGAACCTTGATGACATTTGCTGAGTGAAATAAGCGAGACACCAAAGAACAAACACTGTAGGAGTCCACTTCCATGAGACCAGTTCACAGAGAGGGAAAGGAAAGTGGTGGTCACTGGGGTTAAGGGGATGGGGGGGTGGAGGGCATCATCGTTTAATGAATACAGAGTTTCAGTTGGGAGAGATCAAAAAGCTCCCAAGACAGATGGTGGTGATTGGTCGCACAACAAGGTAAATGAGCTTAATGCCACTAAATTGTATGAATAAATGGCTGAAATGGAACGTTGTATGTTAGGTATGTTTCTGCACAGTAAAAAAGCAAAGTAAGAAGAAAAATGATTTATAGTACTGCTTGAATTTTAAACAGCCATATGTACATTTTAATTTCATCACATTAACTTTTAGAAAGCTTTGGATGCATATCTGAAAAGTTTTTGTATGCGTTGTGAGCGTGAGTGTTTGCACATAGATTTTTATGATACGATTTGGGTCACTCGGGCCTTTTTTGTTTTTATACAGCTCTTACCTGTATTCTCCTTAGATAAAAATGTTAGATAAGCAGGGAGGTATTGCTGAAAGTAGGTATTTTATGAATACATTTCAGGGGAATTTGAGATGCCCGGTAACTAAATGGAACACATGAACCCTAAAAAAATGTGCAGATGCATTTATGCAGGAATTTCCCTTTTCTGACCTCTGCTACTCTTAGTGGATATTCTGGGCATTTTGCTGTGTGGCCACCTGCTGAATGGCTTACTGGAATTTGTCCCCACATTTGTGCTGGGACTGGGTGGGACTCTAAGGGAAGTGCAGTTGTATCAGGTGAGGACCTGTGATGTCAGAGCTGATTTCTAGGTCATGAGCTTCTTTTTACCATCACTCTCCTAACCTGGCCCAAAGAGGAGTGTATATATTTGCTTCTTTGCAGTTATGAGCAATAAAATGCCAATTAGCTTGGCTGTAAGAAGTTGACTAGTAAAGTACAATTCTAATTTAAATCATCATATCTTCAGTTTGCAAATGAGAAGGCAGCTCTAAGAAGAAGACAATGGAAAATAACTTTATATATCCTTAGGGACATCAAACTGCCTTCCAGCCTTTAAATCATGCTTCCTGGTTTTGACAGGTTACATTTACCTTCAGCGGTTTATTGCTCTAAAAACAGTGTTCTATCTCATTGTCATCCCATCTAAATTTTCCTTTTTGTTCACAGTGTGAGATGAGGACAGAAGCACGGCGAAAAAATCTCCTTATTTTGATTTTGCATTACTTAACACAAGAAGGGTATGTTACATTACAAATGTTTACAGAGATGAATCCTCTTTCCCTGACCCCCACTTTTCCAGATACACACTTAACAAAATAGTTCATAGAATTTATTTTTTAGAATAGTTTTCTATTTATAGAAAAACTGAGCAGAAAGTATAGAGAGTTCCCACCTACTGGGAATCCCCCAAGCCAGTCTCCCCTATTATTAACCTCTTATATTGGCGTGGTACATTTGTCACAACTGGAGAACCAATCTTGATACATTAATGTTAGCTGATGTCCATAGTTTCCATCAGGGTTTACTCTTGGGCTGTATAATTCTGTGAGCTTTGACAAATGCATAATGTCATAGATCTGGCATTGCAGTATCATATCCAATAGCTTCGCCCTAAAAATCCCTTGTGCTCTGCCTATCGATGCCCTCATGTTCAGCAACACAGACACGGACTTTTATTGCCTCATTTACATAGATATTATTCCCATTACGCATTTGAAAACTTTAACAAAGCTACCCTGTTCCTGAAATACCTTCCCTTTCCCCTTCAGGTTTCAGCCCTATCAAATAAGATTCCCTGGGGTCCCACTGCTGGGTATCTACACAGAGATAATGCTCTTAGTCCTCAATTCTCCTTCCCTAAAAATAAAGGTATCGCATTTACCTGATGACCTGTGCTTGGCTCTCTTTGCTGGGTAATGCCATTTGTTGACTGGCAGGAGAGGAAATGGAAAAGCATTTGAGTTTGGCCACCTACCTGATTCAGAAACGTGCAAGCCCTTGCCATGAAGGCTGAAGGTGTTCTGGGTTTTGTGAGGAAGAGAGCTCATCCACTATTTACTTTTGAGTTTTCTTTCTTTCCAAGCCTCGGCCAGGAAGAAAATATTTGGGTTTCAGGCTTAGGGCTTGAACTTTCAAGTTACGGCAGCAGTTCTCAACTGGGGTAATTTTGCCCCTTGGGGGACATTTGGCAATGTCAGGAGACGTTTTTTTGACTGCCACAATGGCACCCAGAGGGAGAGAGCAGGGATGCTGCTAAACGTCCTTCCATGCACGTGACAGCAACCCACAACGGTTATCCAGCCCCAGGTGTCAACCCTGCGAAGGCGCTGAAGGCGCTGTATCAGGAAGAACTGTGAAAACAAAGACAAAGAAAAGTCAGCGTAGTAGTTTATCCCTTCTGCTACAGCGTTTACTGTTATTCACAAAGCATGCATTTCCCCTTTCTGCCACAAGATGGCCCCTTGCATCTCACATTAATGAAAATTCGACTAGAGTTGATCATTGTCCTGAGAATCCCCTGGTTAAGGTACTTATGAGTGGATTCTCAAGATGAAAAGTAAACTTTCAGAAAAGTAGACCTGCCCTTAACAAAATACTAAGAACTTATCTTCACAAAGAGGATAGATTATAGTGGATTGAAATAAACAATCGGAAAAAGCTTTGTAGAGAAGGTGATGCGAGCTGGTCTTGAAAGATGTCTGGAGTATGGAATATGTATGGAGCATGGATAGAGAGACACGATGGATGAGGATGTTCTAGCAGGTGCAGAGAGAAAGAAAAGAAAGAAAGAAAGGGCATAAGCTAAGTGGAACAATTAGGTAGACAGAAAGACCAGAGGTTGACTATCAATTGACACTTACAATGTTTTTAAAATTAGCAGGGTCACCGGAAATAATCATGGCCACCTCATTTAAGAAAGTTCAGGCTTCCAACTGACCTGAATCTGGGGCAGGGAAGAGAGCATAATAAGCAATGTTTTCTCCTACTTTCCCAGACTGGAATCAAACAGCAAGAACTCTGTCCTGCAGCAGAAATTCTTAATCTGAGGTCCTTGGATGAAACTGTATGTTAACTTGTGCATATCTGCACACTTTTCAGGAGAGAGTTGTTGGTTTCAATAAGAAGCCAAGAGCTAAGATTAAGACCTGAAGAGTCTTTCCACTTTCAGAGTGAGACAAAGCATTTGCTTTTATTGCTAAGACCACTGAAGTTGGACCGCCCTACAACTGAACAGGTTAAAAATGACAGTGAAGAATGCCTGGTGAAGACGGTCCTCACATCCCCAGTCAGCTGCTAGTGTCATGTGCGAGTGAAGAAAACACTACCAGGAATAATACATCCAAGCCGATGATGTCTTCTTATGCTAAATTTCCCTCAATGATATTGATCAACATAGTTTCAGAATTTCCTTCAAAACTCAAAACCTACCCTTTTCAATTGCTTCAAAATCATGGCAGATCTTGCCTCTTGAGGTTGAATTTGGGTTTATCAATTGCCCGATGTTATCTAAAAGGAGTGCTGGTGAATAAAGAGGTAATAGAGTTGGGCAAATACCCACTTTAGGCTAAAAATGAGTTAAGGTAAAGCATAAAACATTTTCTTAGTTGATTTCCTTATTTGACTTTTATGCATTTCCAAAAACATTTTGAACAATGATGACATCATTAGAGTAAGTATGTAACTTCCTGAGGCAACTGCTTTGAAAAACACTACGTGCATATCCTTACCGTATGTGGGGCTTCTTACTCTATAGGTGAACATCACGTATCCTATTGTCATCTAATGTACTATTTAACCTAAGCTTACTGTTTGTATTGAACATATTTAGACTTGTCGTGCCTGTTTGCCTTTATTCATTTCACCCAGAGTTAATTCTTTTGTTTTGCTTTTTTCTTCTGTGAAATGGCCAGATACATCGATGCAGCCAATGCTTTGGAGCAAGAAACTAAACTGGGGTTACGACGCTTTGAAGTTTGCGACAACGTTGACCTTGAAACTATTTTAATGGAATATGAGAGCTACTATTTTGTAAAATTTCAGAAATATCCCAAAATTGTCAAAAAGGCATCATCAGACACAGGTACATGGCTATTTTCCAGAAATAATGTTTTCTCTCATCTTTAAGATTGGTGTTTCTTCCTCATTGTATCCCCAGATGGATGCTACTGCCACCCTGTACTGAAAGAATAGACCAGAAAGACCATGTAGCCTCTAGTAGATCCTATACAGATAACGTCAGTGTGATTGTCTGGGCCGTGACGTCCCTATAGCCATGCTGCTATTTGTTCAAGGAATGTATATTTTAGGACAAGGAGAGCACAACCCCAGTGTATCACAGGTACTTTTTAGAAGACCAACACTACTTTCATTTCTTTAGAGATGAAAAGAGCTGTTGGAAGAGGATAAATGACAGAAGACCTTTTTGTTGTTATTGTTAGGAAGACCTATTATCTATCTTGAAAATAACATGAAAATGAGTATTGGTGAACCTAATAGCTCATGTATAGATAATGAAATGCTTTTGAAAGCCATCAATCCAGATAATGATCAATAGAATGTAAAGACCCAGTATAGGTTAGCAGTCAAAGAGGCTGGCTGGAGGAAAGATGTAAAGTGAGGGCCCTATGTTCTGAGTAACATTGACTTAGAAGTCTGTAAGTGGGGGAAGTAATTATAAACCAAGGGAGATCATTGTCCTGTTTACAAGGCACTTGTTAAGCCACAGACTTTAACATTTCATGTGGGGACCAGGAAACTGAGAGGAATGTCAATTAAAAATAGCTGGGGGTGATTCTCCTAGCTGGAGGGGATATTTTATGTGAGTTCCTTTCCAGTGCCGCATTCAGAGCTCCCAAGTCCTTGGCTGGGTGTTGGATCTGGGTTTTGGCAGAGAAAACACTGATGCCTAACCACTGAGCCACCAAGACTATCACTGACACAATCTACTCTCTAGATTTCTGTTCTGATCTAACTTGGAACCATAGTCTCCTGGGATACTGGGCACAGTGTATTTATTTTAAGATAAATTGGCAGAGTACAACTGATAAGTCTCCATGAATTGCCCTGGTGTCCCACAGACCACAGCAAAATGGTGTCAAGTTCATGAAAACTTGAAATGATTACTGTCACCTAGCCCACACTGAGGTCGCCACCAGGTTCATGGTTTCCAACATGTTTCATATCTGAGGGCTTTGGGGTCCTCCTCTGTGTGGAAATTCTTGGCAAACATGGGCTTCTTTCTCTTTGCTGGTAGTTTCACTTCTTTCTACGTGAGAATAGCTTTGACCTCCCATATTCTACAAGGCTGTAACACAAATTTTAAGAACCATGTGAGAGGACAAACATTACTGACAAATCACTTTCTCTTAAAAATTAACTTTCCTTTTTCTCCCAATATTTGTTTTGCCACAGTGGAAAATAATTTACCACAAAGAAGTGGAGGGAAGACCAGAAGGTAAAATGAATGGTAATTCGTCTTGGCCAACCCAACTCTAGGAGTTTGTGGGATCCCTTTCCAGAAGATTCTCCAGCTCAGCTCCATGTCTGTCCACCAGCAATTGCAGACTATGGTCATGTGACCTTGGTGGGCCCAGCCATGGGTTCTCCTCACGTTACAGGTGTCCAGGATATGGGTCACTGTCTGTTGGTTCTCCTGGTTTTATCACAGTTAACTGAGTTCACTGGTGCTCTTTCCAGGCTCTGTGCTATGAGGAGTATAGACCTCAGAGATGAAAAGATCCAGGTTCAATTCCTGGCTCTGCTACTCACCAGCTTGGAGCAAGTCTGACCCAAAGTGAGGTCCCCACATGTAGAGGGCCCCATGCATGCTTCATGGTAATACTCTCAATAATGTTCTGCCTGAGGCAACCTTTGCTTTGTGCTCTTCTTTGGGAATAGTTTTATTGTTTTGATCACAGTGTTATCCTTTTATTTATAGTTTCCATAAAGCTAGTCCGACTCTGACAATGAAAGATAACTACTTTTTTAAGATTTTATTTATTTGACAGAGAGTGAGCACAAGCAGGGGAGCAGCAGACAGAGGGAGGGGGGAAGCAGGCTCCCGCTGAGCAGGGAGGCTGATGCGTGGCTCCATCCCAGGACCCTGGGATCATGACCTGACCCAAAGGCAGAGGCTTAACTGACTGAGCCACCCAGCGCCCCTGATAATTACTTTTGAACAGAAATGGTGAGGAGGATTTTAAGGGGCCAACTTTGGCATGCATTTGGATTCTGATTATTTTCCAGCCAGCCACTCATGCCTGGAACTTCCCCAGCATTCCCTATATGGCAGAACATTCCATGAGCGAGTGTCTTCTGAGCACTTTGCTTCTCTTTAGGGATGGAGCTTGACAGCTTAGGTGTCTTCAGCTCCTCTCTGAGTAAGTGTTTGTACACGGCAACCATAGAGGTCAGCCGGCAAATGGCTGGAGTCAGGAAGGATAATTAGGAAAGTAATGAATGCTGTTTATAATTTTATAATTGAAGACAGCTATTGAAATGAGAGGTTGTGTCATGAGACTGGCCATTAACAAATGAAAGTACCTTTTCCTAATTTGCACATCTCACACCAGAGAGCAAGCTCCCAGTGTACCAATTTGCCCATGACCCAGGGGAGGTATGGTTATTTCATGGGATGGGTAACAGAATTAGGATGCCAAGAAAATCTTGACAATTTGGAAGATGGGCCCAAAATAACAAGATGAAATTTAACGAAATAAGGTATTAGCTCTAACCAAAGATTAAGACAAATAGCTCCTTCATTACAAAATCAGAGACCTAGAAATTGGAATTAATAACAGACGCGGTGTGAGTCAGCAGAGTGATGTGATTGCCCATGTGATCTCAGCCTCAGTGGAAATGCAGTGTCCACAGAGTGGGAGGTGACTCTGTTCTGGTCAGAAGACAGTGGACAAAGGGAAAGTGACCAGGATGAGGATGACTCTAGGAGCTAGGTAGTCTTTTTTTATTAAAATTTAATTTAATTTTATTTTTTATAAACATATATTTTTATCCCCAGGGGTACAGGTCTGTGAATCGCCAGGTTTACACACTTCACAGCACTCACCATAATACCCTCCCCAATGTCCATAACCCCACCCCCCCTCTCCCAACCCCCTTCCCCCCAGCAACCCTCAGTTTGTTTTGTGAGATTAAGAGTCACTTATGGTTTGTCTCCCTCCCAATCCCATCTTGTTTCATTTACTCTTCTCCTACCCCCTTAACCCCCCATGTTGCATCTCCTCTCTCTCATATCAGGGAGATCATATGATAGTTGCCTTTCTCTGATTGACTTATTTCGCTAAGCATGAAACCCTCTAGTTCCATCCACGTCATCGCAAATGGCAAGATTTCATTTCTTTTGATGGCTGCATAGTATTCCATTGTGTATATATACCACATCTTCTTTATCCATTCGTCTGTTGATGGACATCTAGGTTCTTTCCATAGTTTGGCTATTGTGGACATTGCTGCTATAAACATTTGGGTGCATGTGCCCCTTCGGATCACTATGTTTGTATCTTTAGGGTAAATACCCAGTAGTGCAATTGCTGGGTCATAGGGTAGTTCTATTTTCAACATTTTGAGGAACCTCCATGCTGTTTTCCAGAGTGGTTGCACCAAGCTAGGGTAGTCTTAAAAATGATTGGAGCAGCTGGTGATGTTTAGCTTGAAGAATGGAAGACTTGGGGAGGAGGTGCCCCTAGAACAACACGGTACCAGTCTTCACTCTCTAAAGAGGATTGAGCCTTCTTTGTAGAATTCCACAGGGCACACCTGGGAGTGGCAAATAAAGTTACAGTAGGGTGAGTTTGGTTTCATATTAGGAAGAATTCTACAATCGTTAGAGCTGACAGGAAATGAATCACGCTGCTCTGCACATTAAGCACTTGTCTTTGATTGTGTTAAAGCAAATCTGTGAATCACTTGCCTCTAAAGGGAAATTAGAGTGGGGAATCAGATTCCCAGTTCCCTGCCAGCCCTGCAATGACGTTAGGCAAGTTTCTGTGTGTGTGTGTGTGTGTGTGTGTGTGTATATATATATATATATATATATATGACCTCACTTCATTTAAATCAATGCTATTAATAAGGGTTTACACTTATAAAATGTTTGGTATTCATTTCCTAGATAATTTCATTTTTGTGCCAGCAAAAGGCCCGAGGGACAGGCATTTTTATTCCTAATTTACAGATGAAAAACAAATGCCATACACCTCTTACGACGCTCACCCCTGTGGGTGAACCCTGGGGTCATCGCGTATGGACACTGGGGGTATCATTGGCGTGGGCGGTCTTGCTGGCCAAACACCTGTTTACATTAGACACAAACAACTTTTTCTTTCTCGCAAAGACATGGAGAAATAGCTGCTCTCTGAGACCCCTTAGAACATGGGAGACACGCTTCCAGTGAAACTCCTGCAAACACATCTCATGTCTAAGGACAAAGGAGCTGAGAAAACTAAACAACTTCTGCTATGGGGTTCATGCTGTGCCCTCCACGCATCCTGCCTCTCTCTGATTCCATCTCCAATCCAACAATATTCCAGTACTGAATTTTAGGTCTCATGGTGAGGACCTCGTGTACAAATTTATTTTACTTTTGCATTGATGTAGGTAAAACATATAACATATATGCCATCCAACACATATATACACATACATGCTGTCAAACCCATATATACTCTTGTAAGTGCCACACCCTAGCACCCCCTGCCTCCTAATAGGCTCCCTTTCCAGCCAATACTCCCCATCTCCACCAGAGGCAGCCACTATCTGAATTTCCAACCCCATTGATTTGTTTTGCTTTAAATGAACAATATTTGGTGAACATTTGTTTTGCAAATATGAAGATCCATGACAAAAGAGATGAGGCAAGGTCTGCTTCCCTTCCACAAATCCCCTCTAGGTACACCCCGCACACCAGATCAAAACCACTGGCAAATCCCTAGGCTTTCTCTTATCTCCCCACAACCTGCCCCCTGGTCTGCTACTGTTCTTTAAGGAAAGTGGGAATGTTGGAGAAATGCTTGTGAAGTCATGTGTTCTTGAAATACAGAGCTGTGTGCAGAAGGGCTGGAGTTGGGTGGCATGAGGGGAAAGGAAGAGGAGGTCAGGGGTCTCTGGGAGGAGGTGGACACTCTAGCCTGGTCTTGGAGGACCCCAAGGGGTTGAATGGAGCAAGCCAGAGCCAGGATGGATGGGGTGGGAGGACAGGGCAGATGGAGGTCCCAACTGGGGTACATATGCCTATCTTTCCAGAATGCTTTTTTTTTTTTTTTTAAGGTGCTACACAAGTTGTTTAGTTACCTCAAATTAAGTGGTTAAGATGATTTCCTCTAAGGTCTTTGTTCCCTCTCCTAGAGTGATGAGCGACAGCTGTCAAAATCTTCCCAAGATCAGTCAGCAGAGGCCACGATCCAGAACCACAGCGGGGAAATCGGGGGATGCCAAATCCCTCCATAAGGAGCATCCTAAACAGGTCTGGACAGCTTTGCTTGGTGTTGGTAAAATTGCAGGTGGCTGAGAAATTGCTCCAAGTCACATTTATTTATTCAAGGACGTATGTTTTTAAAATGCTGCGTGACTGTGTTAAATTGTAGATTTTCTTCTGGATTAAAACCACAGGCAAATCTCTAGTCTTCCTAATGCCTTCTAATTTGAGTGGGAGGTCTCCTTCCTCCCCTTAGCCTTACCCCCCGGTCAGAATCCTGGATGACAGGCTTTGAGGGGTGAGCCCTGGACCCAGAAAGAGCAGGGGGCCTGGTTGCTACAATGCTCAATCATCCCATTTGAGGTAACTGTAGGTGACAAGTCTTCCTGTCCCAAAGCACATCCAGGATGAGGCCAAAGATTAGTCAGGAATGGCTCCTCCGTTCCATGGGCTTCTCCAAAGTACACATGGTCGGTCCCCCTCCGGACCTCCACACTGGACGATCTCAGGAACAGGGTGGGGAGCAAAAGGCAAGAGCCCAGCAGGTGGGTGAGATCAATGGCTCCTGACTCAGGGGATCCATACCTAGAAGCTCTTGGGTTCAGCCAAACATACAGGTTTCAGAGGAAAGAAAACCAAGTGAAATTGTGAAAAGGAATGGCAAGAATGGCTGTCAGAGATGCCCGGCGGGATAGAAAGGCGTTTAATCATGAAATTCAGTTGTCGGAAGGAATCTCTCCCTCTTAAAGAGGTTGTACATTCCTGGCCAGTGTAATCTGCCTTGGGCGGAAGGGGGGGTGAGATGGGGCAGGAGAATTCCACAGGTGGTGGGTTGAATATCAACTCTGCTCCATCTCCAAACTCAGCCCCTCCCGCATCACACACCTCTGGTCACAAGAGAAAAGTCAGTGAGTGGGTCTGGGTTGAGGCACCATATGGTTTCCTTCACTGGAAAAGCTGCTTGGAACCCATGGCTTCCACTGACAGCCCTTCCCACGTGGCTCAGGCAGGGAGTGAATTCGTCTTGCTGGGACTACACAGAAGTGGCCCAATTACACACAGGGTTTCCTTTCACTGAACTGAGAGCCAATGTGTGAATTTTGGACGATGGAATGGGCAGTTTCCACCAGCATCTGTCACTTGCTTTCCACAGCTGACTTCTCGTTGTCTTCCTCTTTCTTCAGGAGGCTGTCAATAATCCCCACGCGGAGAGTGCTGACTTTGGCTTGAGCATATCAGGAATCAACAAAGGCAGTGGAGAAGAAAATGTCCGCCCACAAAAAGTAAGTAGAATTCATGAACATAGCACCAAAATGGGAAATTGCTTTTCTTTCTAAAAACGAAAATTAAAAATGTTATCGTTGTCAAATAGAAAAGCTAATACAGAATGGTCAGAGCCTGGCTGTGAGGTGAGCTGAGGAGAGCACTGGCTGAGGGGTTGAGCCCTGGGGTTCTGGTCTGAATCTCCTTTCTGGATGAATGGTCTTGAAGGAACGGCCCCATCTCTAAGAAGCTCAAGTCTCCCTATTTGCTCAGGGGTTTGGCAGCGATGGCTTCTAATGTCACGGTCAACTTAAACGTCCTGGGACTGAAATGGGAAACGTCGGTGTTCTGGGTTATTGAAAGAGTTATGGTGGTGCACACATCCTTCTCTTCTTTTGTGTGTGGTATCTGACTAGTGGTGGCCCCTTTCCTCCCTGGAGGTGTGGCTCTAGGCTTGAGTATCATTTCATGTAAGCCATGAAACCTCAGTTGAAATAGGGTGGATAGGGGTGCCTGGGTGGCTCAGTGGGTTAAAGCCTCTGCCTTCGGCTCAGGTCATGATCCCAGGGTCCTGGGATCGAGCCCCGCTTCGGGTTCTCTTCTTGGTGGTGAGCCTGCTTCCCCCCCTCTCTCTGCCTGCCTCTCTGCCTGCTTGTGATCTCTGTCTAATAAATAAATAAAATCTTAAAAAAAAAAAAGAAACAGGGTGGATATTGTCCCTAATAGATAGCTCTATCCCTTTCAAAATGAACCTCATGTCTTGATCCATAAATAAGAGCGGCTCAGACAGAAAAGACTCAGACTGGGTAGATGGAGGCAAAAGGCCAGTTAGCACATGTCCTTTGAGGATGAGAAGAAGCAGTATCAACATCAACAGATTTCTCTTGACTGTAACTTCCGGGGTTGTACTCCTTCTAAGAGCCATTGTTCTTTCTCTGGGCAAGTTCTCAGACTACAGGACGTTGGATTTAGCTCTGGCCAGCTCTTCTTGGGTAAACGAGACTCTGGCTGTGTGTGCCTGAAGAAGAAGCTGGGAGCATCTCCCTGGAAGTCAAGGAGCTCTCACTGGCCTCCAGTGGCTCCCTGGAAGGGCCTCGGTGATACGGGTGATCGCTGGAGATGATGCGTTCAGATCAGTGCCTCCCGCGGAGAAAAGCTTCCTGGTTTACCTCTGCCAGTGTCATTGTGTTTTGAGTCACTTTGGCCTAGTAATTCTGTGGCCCTAGTTTCTCCCATGAACATCTCGTGTTGATATGAATAGTCATTTCTGATCAGGTCACAAGGAAGGGACCATTTAACCCAGCACTTAACCTTTGAAGGAGTCTGGTCATAAATTCTCTTTCCAGCAGAAGTGTCCTGAGCAGAGTGTCCTTAAAATGCAGATGGGTTTCTTCCCAGCACTACAAATGTTCATAAACTGAATGAGGGTATATGGCCAGGGGCCCATCTCCAAAATGGGCCTATCATGGCCGTGTTAGGGCCCCTAGCTTCGGTATTCCTGGACCCCCTACAAATTTAGTAGGCATGTTGTTCTTAAAGGCACTAGTCAATTTGCCTAGGTTCAAAACCCTGCTCAGACTTTCCCAGCTGTGTGACCTTAGGCAAGTTGCTCAATCTTCCCAAGCCTCATTTCTCTTTCTCCGGAAAATGGAAATAATCAGTGCCTACTTTAAATATCTTGAATGGAGAGTGTTAGCCTCGTGCCCGGTGTATGACATGGAGGTCTGCACATTACCCCTGCGCGCTGGCTACTGCTGTTGCTGTTTGTTTTCTGCACGCATCCTTGCTTTTTCTTTCTGCCTGTCCCTTGCGGGGACGGCAAGGGGCACAGGGAGGATGGGAGACAGACATCTGGGTTTGAATCCTGGCCTTAAGCCACTTGTAACCTGGGACTCTACTGAGTAGAGAAGGTACATGACTGTCAGTAAGTGGGAGCTATTGTCACTCTTGTGCCAGTGCCTTCTTCCTGGATGTGGGATGTTTCAAAGGACCAGACGATGTAGGGGAGGCAGACCTGGAAGGAAGCAGAGGGCATCGTGTCAGAAAAATGCTTGTGAGTTTTCATTCAAACCAACTTCATTCTGAAGGGTTTATCTGCAACTTAATTTTCTTTTCTAGAGTGTCCAACTTGAAGAAATCACCTCATTCATGATTAGTGCAGGTCCTTTTTAAGGCCTCACTCTAAGTTTGCTCTACGTACCAAGATACATAAATGTGTCTTGATTTACTGAAGCTGAGCTATTAGGGATAGCCTTCCCCCATGTCTTAATGGTGTAAGTAACCATTACTCCGTTTCAGGGCCAAATCGTTGACTTCCGAGGGCTGCTCACAGATGCCATCAAAGGAGCAACCAGTGAACTTGGCTTGAACAGCTTTGACTGTAACCCAGACCCCTCAGTAAGTGGCTAAGATGCGACATTGCAAACTGCCAACCTCCAGACAAACTTCAGAAAGATAATTTTGAGTCCAGAGAAACCCTGAGATCAAATCGAAGGTCACAGCAGCCTGCTACCACTTATGTCACCGAGATCCATGCCCCGTTTCGCTTTCTAAATTATGAGCAATATTGTAACGTAAAGCTTTCTGTTCCCACCGTCAGGAACGATTGTTGAAACCTCTGAGTGCATTTATTGGCATGAATAGTGAGATGCGAGAATTGGCAGCCGTGGTGAGCCGGGTAAGATCTGATATTCAATTCACAAATTTACGGAGGCGGACTGGGGCTCCTGGAGCATTGTGGGCTGCTTCTTTTATTAATAACAATAAATATGATCATTTATTTATAAAGTGCCCCCACTTGCAAAGGCACTCATATTGTTTAGAGGCACAATAATGCATGATAAATAAATTATAGAATCATAAAATTACAATACAAAAAGCCCACCATCTCACTACAGAGGCCAAGAAAACCAAAAGGGAAAAAGACTTAGAAGGGAAGGGACAGGTGAAAGGTTTTAGAGCAGAGCCAAGAGTTAAGGAAAGAAAGCCTCTTAGAGAAGGAAAGAGCACACCTGTGTTTGGTTTCAACAGTCGAAGTCTAGAAACACAGATGTTGGCGGTCTGATGATTTCATAATTGGGAATTTCCATAAAAAACAAGATTAGTAGTAAAGAGCTTATCATCTGGACTACTGATTTTTAAGCTTACCCTCCAGGATTTATTTTATTTTCTTCTTTCTTTAAAACTTAAATTCAGTTAGCCAACATATAGCACATCATTACTTTTAGATGTAGAGTTCAGTAATTCATCAGATGCATGTGACACCCAGTGCTCATCACACCACATGCCTTCCTTACTGCCCATCACCGAGTTACCCCATCCCCCCGCTTACCTCCCTACCCTCCAGAATTTAAAAGCAGTGAAGTCTCCTGGTGAGTGACACTGGCTCTGGAATCAGTTGAGCTGGATTTTATTTCTTTATCCTTCTCTTTCTAACATGACTTTGAACATGTTCCTTGGGAACAGAATACCTTCCTGAGTTACAGGGCACTTATCTGATATCCAGCAATCTCATATTTAATGAAAGACTAGAACCTAGGCAGACTCAGAGAGATGTTTAATATGCTCCAAGACGCACAGCTTGTCTGCAGTGATTAAGGGTTCCCTAGCTCTGGCTGTTCTGTTTGGCAGCTCTTCCTGTCCCTATTAGCTATCAAGGTGGGGGGTGGAAACACAAAGATGAATGAATCAGACACAATTCTTGCCTACAAGAGTCTCTCATGTCATGGGTAAGGAGAACAAAAGGAGGGGTATTTTGTGTCAAAGTGTAGGGAAAGCATTAGGGAAGAAGATACACAAGAGACAGGCACATGAAAATGCACATGAGGGAGGGTGGAGGGTTCTGTGTCAAACAACATGCCTGCGAAACTGTACAGCTTTTAGCCGAATGAGCCACAAGGAGCAGTGGGGAAGAAGGCTGCAGAGAGAGGCCACAGTTTCTGGGTAAGGGGCACAGTGAGTGCTAGCCCACGGTTGGAAGTGGCCTGTAGGACATGGGGAATCTTTGAAAGGTGTCCATCAGGAGAACGGGATGCTCAAATGTGCTTTTAGTCTGTCCTAATGACAGTGTGGTGGATGGAGAACAAAGAAATGGAGATGAGGAGACCAGCTCTCAAGTTATTACCAGTGAGAGAGGATGAGGTCGGAGCCAGGCTGTGGTAATTAGGATGCAAAGGAGAGCAGAGAAAAAAAAAATTATGCCCATAAAAATCAATAGTCTCATTACTAAACAGTAATGAGACAACAAAAAGACAACATGACTAGTGATGACAGAGTTGTAGAGTAGAACTGGCCCAAAATGATTCCACCTGGCATCTTTTCTACAGTACCATGGGAAGTAGTCATCCAGTCCCTGCTTGAATGCTTACAGTGATGGGGAGATCACCACCTCATGACTGATAAGTTTTGTTACTATAAGGAGGAACTTCCTTTTAGGGAATTAAAAACACTGCTATGTGGAACTCAGTATCAGCTCTAGACGAGGACAAGAAATACTGCTCTGATTTACGGATGCTTTGAATTCCAGGATAGATTAATCCCCCATCTGTGTCAAGCTTTTCCTAAGAAACTGTGGTAAATAGAATGTGAGAGGGGGGTGCCTGGGTGGTTCAGTCATTAAGCTTCTGCCTTCAGCATGGGTCATGACCCCAGGGTCCTGGGGTTGAGCTCCACGTGGCGGGAAGCCTGCTTTCCTTCTCCCATTCCCCCTGCCTGTGTTCCTGCTTGTGTTCCTGCTCTTGCTGTCTCTCTGTGTCAGACAAATAAATAAAATCTAAAAAAAAAAAAAAAAAAAAAAAAGTGAGTGGGAGGTAGGCTAGCCTGCAGATCCACAATATAAAGATAGGGGGCGCTCTCCCAAGTTTTGTTTGTTTTGTTTTGTTTTGTTTTGTTTGTGTTTTTTTTTTTTGGGAAGACGGAGTCCTTTCTCCATCGCTGTATCACAGGATCATGCCTATTAGGCACTACCAAAATCACTTCTATGAATACTTTCGCTAATAAAAGTGGTCAGCCATGGTGGAAGGATGTGGGAGGACAGGGGACGGGGATGGGGACATAACATCTCACCAGCACTGAAAGGACATATTTTTATATTTTAAAACATGTTTATGTATTATTTAAAAATTAGATAATATAGGGGTGCCTGGGTGGCTTAGGTTAAGTATCCAACTCTTGGTTTTGGCTCAGGTCATAATCTCACTGTCTTGAGATTGAGCCCTGAGGTGGTCTCCATGCTCAGCAGGGAGTCTGCTTGAAGATTCTCTCTCTCTCTGCCCCTCCCCCATTCAGGTACACAAACTCTCTCAAATACATAAATAGATCTTTAAAAAAATTAACTGAATATAGAAATAGTTACCAGATTGTTCTACAGTCACTCAAAATGACTTCTAAAAGGAAGGCTTTTCTGATATGACTCTTGATACTCACTATGCCTGGAACAGCTCCTACTGAGAAAGGCCCTGAGTGGCTGTTCTGAGACGTCCTGTGGAATTGAAGTTTGGAAACTGTAAATTAGTTATCAGTAGAAGCTGCCTTAATTGATGGTCCCGGATGGTGGCTACAGGGTTCCACTAGGAGAGGGCAAACTGCACTTTTGCTTGCTTGTTGGCTTCCTTGAATTTTGTAGAAGCAGTTGCTCCTGATGGAAAGTGGGGAGAGATCCCTGGGGGAAAGGAGACATTGGTTTCAGAGGAGCATTATCTCTTAGGCCACAAAAAAGCGTTTGCGAGATCAAGGAGCAGGCGAGGCCAGGCACTGGTTCGGAACTCTGTTTTGCAGTAAAAGCCAGTGTAATTTGAAGGTACATTCTGTAGCTTCTTTGATTACAGTCATAAATCAGCATGGTTTGCTATTGACTGAAGACAGGTATAGTCCATCGTTAGGAGATTTTGTTTCCTCTTAAAAGTACTGTATTATCTCATCAATCTCCTCTTGGGGGAAAAAATCACTGAATGTGTTCATGGCATCCATTTTGGCGAACTAGCCCGTAATTACCATGTATATATACACATATATCTAATATGAAGAGTTTTTATCACCAGCACTTTATGCCCCATTGTAAGTCAAGTACTCTGCTGCTCCTATGTTTATTACAGCTGTGGAGGAAAACATTAGTTTTAACAAAATGATCAAATGTGCCTTGCAGGACATTTATCTCCATAATCCAAACATAAAGTGGAATGACATTATTGGACTCGATGCAGCCAAGCAGTTAGTCAAGGAAGCTGTTGTGTACCCTATCAGGGTAAGGATGGGAAGCCTCATGGGGGTGGTTTCTGTTCATTGTCCACCGGACAAACTGTATGTCACGCACCCATCAGGAAGAGGACAGGATGTTCTTCTGTCATCGCCTTAACTTTTGGGCTGTGTCGCCGTATTTGGTCAAACACTGAAGTGCGGTCCACCGCAGGCAGTTTGAAATCGTGTTACCTACTGGGTCAAGGCGGGGTCTGCTCAAGTGATCATTTTAGATCTAAGACTTGTCAGTTCCTACAGATTGGTTCAAATTAGCCTGCCTCCCTAAAACTATACTTACTATAGAAGAAATGCCTCCTGTAGGAGAGGGCCTCTCACTGTGTTTCTATAGATCCCCCTCCACCTTGACCCCCTTCCTCTAGGGTTCTGTTCCTGACTTTTTGTAAACACCAGGCAGCCCCTTCCAGGGCACTGGCCAGGAATGCCATTGTATCATGCTCACTGCTCTTTCCTGACAAGTCTTTGTGCAGAGTAGTTCGTGAGACCGGAAGGAAAACAGAAAGACAAGACATTTCATGTTGGGTTTGCAAGTGTGGTGATGAGAAGGTCTGTGTACCCCAGAGCTGTGGCTGTATAGCAGACCACCCCAAAACGTCATGCATTCGGTAGGCAGTCTGGGTGGCGGTAGGCGGTCTGGGTGGCGGTAGGCGGTCTGGGTGGCGGTAGGCGGTCTGGGTGGCGGTAGGCGGTCTGGGCTGGAGCCCGGGAAAGCTGGCATAGACAGGATGACTGAGACTTGTCCACGTGCCTCTCCTCCCCCAGCAGGCAGGCCCAGTCTTGTTCCGTGGTGGCACAGACTTCCCAGACAGAAGCGAGAAAGGGCAGGTGCCAATCCAGCAGCATTTTTCACGTCTCTTCTTATAGGTCCTATATTTTCACGTCTCTTCTTATATTTGCTGATGTTTCATTGGCCAAGGTCACAGGGCCAAGTCCAGATTCTAGAGTCGGAGAAATATACTCTCTTGGTGGAAGGAGCTGCAGCTAATTTGTGGCCATTTTCTGTGATCTCCCGCAGTCAAGATAACACATTTGTTGTATTGAATAATCTATTGATTCTTATCACTGAGATAAGAATGCAGACCCTAAATTTTGGCTGCTTCTCGTCTAATGAGACAAAAATCAGTAAATCTGGATGGTCTCCCCGCCTTTTCTTCCTGTATTCAGACATGGGAGGTAAGAAGTACACTGGCATTCAGATTTAGTAGAAATTTATTCACTCTTTCCTCTGAGTGGCTCTACAGTACAAGTCTTCCGGGAAAGGATGGAACATCTCATTGGAGCTCTGGATATGTCATCTCCATGGTGTTATAAGCTTTGTGTGTGATGGCATGGAGAGTTTGGCAACAGCATCAGCAAGAAAACAAGAGCTACTTACAATTTTACTATCGTTTTTCCTTCTCCCTTGTTCTCTATCAGCTCTACCTGCTGCCCCCGACTGTCTGGATTTGAACTAATGGGAGAGAATCATGGAAGTTTGTGGAATATGGAAGTCCACGCATGTCCCGTTTGGAGTTAGTGTCTCACAAGGCATTCAGCACTGAATGTTCCCGACTTCTAAATCAGGCTTTGCCATAGCTTTGTGCTTTATTCGCATACACCGTTGTTGCTTGGTTTTAGTGTTTACCTTGAAGGGCATTCCTGGTTCACAACGTTCCAAAGATTGCCAAATACCCTGTACACAGAAATCCAGGAGAAATGATGTTATGTATGTAGGAAATAACTATTGTAACAGAGAAGGAAAGTACCCACATATGCCTTTCTTTTCCTTAAAAAAAAAAATACTGCTCTTTTAAAAGCCACAAAAATTAAGCCGGGCATTGCTATTAAGTGTGAAAGTAAAACGGGAAGAAATAAGATGTAAACAGAAGCAGTGAGCCTCAACAAAAGGAAGACCCAACTCGTTGTGCTGTGTTTCTCCCCAGCTTCCTTCATTTGTCTGCGCTGAGGGTGTGCCGGCTGACATACTGATACCAAACCTCATCTTTGTTCCTTGTTTCCATAGTATCCGCAGCTGTTTACGGGAATCCTTTCCCCCTGGAAAGGTCTACTGCTGTATGGTCCTCCAGGTAAAGGAATCTTTCTGATTTGGTCTTGATATGAAGTGTGGATGCCGAGGGTGAGCTGGCCTGTCTGTCCTCATCCAGGCGGGGGGCTAAGGACCGCTGGGTAGCCACCTCCTTTTCCACTTGGGAGACTGACTTCTATCTGTGAGCAGAGAAATGGAGTGCAGGGGTCACTCGCATTTTATCCTCATGTGTCTCTAGGCACAGGAAAGACCTTACTGGCTAAAGCTGTGGCCACGGAGTGTAAAACCACCTTCTTTAACATTTCTGCATCTACCATTGTCAGCAAATGGAGAGGGGATTCAGAAAAACTTGTTCGGGTAGGAATTCTTGATTTTATATTTTTTTACAATAAGCTCCAACAGAATACAGTGGTTCAACATGATGTTAGAGCTTATTTGTTTTTAAGTGATTTGTATGCTAGAATTTATCCTGGATCTTGATTACCAAAAGCCCAGGAGATAGATTGACTATTATATGTGGATATTAATCCTGTTCCCATCAGCAAAATATGATCTCCTTTCCTTTGAGGATGTGACGAACAGTGCTTTTTTGATTCCTGTAGCTTAGGAATGGAAGCCAGGACAAAGGTTGTTTAAGAAATGGAATATTTTTTTTCTTCCTCCAAGAAACATTTATTTTTAAGCATGTGCAGTATATTCAGCTAACATTTATTGAGAAGCTACTAGCATACGCTAGTACCTACACTAGATACCCTCAGAAAGAATCAAGAAATTGAAAACAATTATCTTTTTTCAGATGCTCTCAGCAACTTTCCTCCACAGTGCCCCATAGCCTTACAGTTTTTTCCTCTCCTTAGGAGAGAAATAGAAAATATATTTTATATAAAATATGATATGAAATTTTATACTATAAAATTTTACTATACTTTCTGGCACCTTAAGAGAACATCTGTTTATGATTTAACACCTCAATGTAAGGTGGGTCCTTCTCAGAAATCCTGTTAAACTGCTGAATTCTGTAGAATGCCTGGAAAGTAATCAATACCAAGTCAATGTAAATACTATATATTTTCTGAAAAGAAATTACTCTAAAATATTATGCTTAAGTTACATTCCCTTGGATGATTCATTTTCAAAATATTATGGCTTCCTTGGAAGTCATAATGGAATTTTTTATAGGATTGATTTACCTAAAATGGCCTATCATTTATTACTTTGATTCTTTTCTCAAGTTACTTCAAATGTGTAAGTTTTTACAGTTCTTATCACTGCTTCACGATTGTAATTCGTGGAAATCCACATTGACATGTTTCTTTGTTCTTTGAGTCTCCTTTAGTGCCCGTCTAAAGGTGGGGTTGGAACTCACCTGTTCCTAAATTTTTGGGTTCTATGTGATTCTAGTTAGTTTGATGTCAATTAGTTAAAATCCAACTAACTATAAAATCTTCATCAGCCTGAAGACTTTTTCTTTTTTTAACATTCCATTTCTATGGGCTGAAGAACAATAAAACTTTTACAAGATGCCCCCAGAATCAGTTTAGATTTCTCTCCTGTCATGAAAAGTGGTGTTTACAACTGTGAGCACAAAACACTGCAAGAAGCTCAAAGAAAGATTACATTATATTCCCTGGACTGGACTCCCCTAAACAGAAGAATAAATTCAAATATATTATGACTATTCTTTTTTCTTAAAGATTTTATTCATTTATTTCAGAGACAGAGAGTGAGAGAGAGGGCAAGCATGAGCAGTGGGAGAGGCAGAGGGAGAATCAGATTCCTCGCCAAGCAGGGAGCCTGATGTGGGACTCGATCCCAGGACCCTGGGATCATGACCTCAGCAGAAGGCAGTCACTTAACTGACTAAGACACCCAATTGCCCCTCTTACGAATATTCTTTTTTTTTTTTTTTAAGATTTTATTTATTTATTTGATGGACAGAGATCACAAGTAGGCAGAGAGGCAGGCAGAGAGAGAGGAGGAAGCAGGCTCCCCGCTGAGCAGAGAGCCCGATGTGGGGCTTGATCCCAGGACCCTGGGATCATGACTTGAGCTGAAGGCAGAGGCTTTAACCCATGGAGCCACCCAGGCACCCTCTTATGAATATTCTTAACGAAGACTGAAACTACTAAAAGAATTATCTTGTTTAATGTTGGATAACCAGAAAAGTCACTTAACAGGGATTCTCCATTCTGTGAACAATTTATTTAACTAAAGTTATCCTTTGCTTCAGTATTATTTTGTTAGGATTCTAAGGGTGAGGAAATGAGTCCTTCCCAAGTTCTCCCCTTCCTTTACCATATATTTGAAAAAAAAAAAAATCACTAGTGTTGGGGCACCTGGGTGGCTCAGTCAGTTAAGCGGCTGAGTCTTAATTTCAGTTCAGGTCATGATCTCAGGGTCCTTGGAATTGAGCCCCACATCAGGATCCACAATCAGCAGGGAGTCTTCTGAAGGATTCTCTCTCTCCCTTTCCCCCGACTCATGCTCCCTCTCTTTCTCTAAAATAAATAAATAAATATTTTTAAAAATAACTAGTATTTCTGGGAAGAAAAAAGGGTACAAAAGGGAATATTGACCCTTGAGTCCTCTCCCTAGAGGCAACTACTACAGTCTGCTAGTGCAGCCTTTTAGAACATTTATCTTTATCTATATTAAGACCAACAACTTCATCCATATCTCCTTCCTTATTAAATACAAGTAGGAACATACTACACAATACCCTTCTTTTACTGAGTTTTTTGTTTGTTTGTTTTGTTTTTTGTATAGTTTTTTTTTTAATTTCTTTTCAGTGTACCAGAATTCATTGTTATGCACCATACCCAGTGCTCCAAGCAATATGTGCCCTCCATAATACCCACCACCAGGCTCACCCAACTCCCACCCCCACCCCGTCCCTTCAAAACCCTCAGATTGTTTTTCAGAGTCCATAGTCTCTTATGGTTCATCTCCCCCGCCCAACTACCTTCTCTTCTCCATCTCCCCATGTCCTCCATGTTATTTCTTATGCTCCACAAATAAGTGAAACCATATGATAATTGACTCTCTCTGCTTGACTTATTTCACTTAGCATTAATCTCTTCCAGTCCCATCCATGTTGATACAAAAGTTGGATATTCATCCTTTCTGATGGAGGCATAATACTCCATTGTATATATGGACCATATCTTCCTTATCCCTTCGTCTGTTGAAGGGCATCTTGGTTCTTTCCACAGTTTGGCAACTGTGGCTATTGTTGTTATGAACATTGGGGTATGGATGGTCCTTCTCTTTCCTACATCTGTATCTTTGGGGTAAATACCCAGTAGTGCAATTGCAGGGTCATAGGGAAGCTCTATTTTTAATTTCTTAAGGAATCTCCACAGTTTTCCAAAGTGGCTGCACCAACTTGCATTCCCATCAACAGTGTAAGAGGGTTCCCCTTTATACACATCCTCTCCAACACACATTGTTTACTGTCTTATTAATTTTGGCCATTCTAACTGGTGTAAGGTGGTATCTCAATGTGGTTTTGATTTGAATCTCCCTGATGGCTAGTGATGATGAACATTTTTTCATGTGTCTGATAGCCATTTGTATGTCTTCATTGGAGAAGTGTCAGTTCATGTCTTCTGCCCATTTTTTGACATGATTATCTGTTTTGTGTGTGTTGAGTTTAAGAAGTTCTTTATAGATCCTGGATATCAGCCTTTTGTCTGTACTGTCATTTGCAAATATCTTATCTCATTCCGTGGGTTGCCTCTTTGTTTTGTTGACTATTTCCTTTGCTGTGCAGAAGCTTTTGATCTATGAAGTTCCAAAAAATTCATTTTCGCTTTTGTTTACTTTGCCTTTGGAGACATATTTTGAAAGAAGTTGCTGTGGCTGATATTGAAGAAGTTACTGCCTATGTTCTGATCACCAAGACAGCACGGTACTGGCATAAAAACAGACACATAGACCAGTAGAGAGCTCAGATATGGACCCTCAACTCTATGGTCAAATAATCTTCGACAAAGCAGGAAAAAATATACAGTGGATAAAAAGACAGTCTTTTCAATAAATGGTGCTGGGAAAACTGGACAGCTATATGTAGAAGAATGAAACTTGACCATTCTCTTACACCATACACAAAGATAAACTTGAAATGGATAAAAGACCTCAACATGACACAGGAATCCATCAGAATCATAGAGGAGAACACAATACCCTTCTATACCTTTTGGTTTTTTCCCACACTCAATAATATAACTTGGTTATTGTTCCAAACTATTATAGACAGAATAGTTCTTTTATAAGTCCGCATGGCATTTCCTTGCCTGAGTATACCAAAATGTATTTAACCAGTCTTTTCTTAATGGACATTTAGGTTGTTTCTAGTCTCTTGCTATCATGAACAAAGCTACAGTAAACAATCTCACTATATACATGTCCTTGCATGCGTAGTAATGTAGGACCATTTCTTTGAAGTCAAGTTGCTAGGTCAGAGAGAATGAAAAATCACCAATTGCCAAATTGCCTGACAGCAGCATTGCACCAGCTCACACACCCATCAGTGATGTGCGTGTTTGCTTCCCCGACCCTGGTCAACACTGTGTAGAACCCAAATTTAAAAATCTTTGTCAATCTGATAATGAATCTAATATTTCAGTGCTCAAATATGCATTTATTTAATTCTGAATGAACTTGAGCATCTTCTTGTAAGTTTAGAAGATATTTATATTTTCTTATTTTCTGTGAAATGCATTTTTGGTTTTGGATATTTAAAAAAATGATTCAGGAAGAAAACATAACCTCTGCTAACCTTGAAGGATCTCATCTTCTGTCCTTTCAGAAGTTATTTTCTGAGCTCTTGGAAGGATCCTCACCTGGACAATCTTGGTCATGCTGTCAAGATCTTTACTATGAAGCTTTCAGATAAAGAGAGCCCTTCAGAATCTTCCTCTAAATCAGAGACACATTCCTACCATTTGTTTCTCTTTCTAGTCCAATTAAAGAGTTATTTATAGGGAACTCTTGGGTTATGTTCCTCCCTCCCCTCCTAATGTTCTTGCCTCCTAGGAATTGATGTTCTTGAATAGTTGAGTGGTCTCTTCAGCAAATGCGCACACCTGTTGGTGCTTACATCTTTCAACATGACTCTCCCCTGCCCCCCAATCATATGATTTAACTTCCTCCAAGTACTTTAGAAAATTTTAGACTAATGCTTCCAGAGCACTTACCCGGAATTCTGTATATTCTCTGGCACTGGAAAGAGCAATGGTGTGGTCAATATGGAGACATGGGCTCCAGATGTGGTTCTCCTTCCAACTGGTTGTTTGGTTTTTTAGAGCCTCTCAGTCCCTCTGCCCCTTAGGGAGCACCTTAAAAACACGTGTGGTTCTATTAAAGCGTTCTGATATTCCACTTTTCATTGGGTAGATTGCTGCTTTTGCGACATCCTTAATATCAGTTATATTGGGGCTTTTTTTTTCCTCTTTTTTGGTGATAAGTGAAACAAGTTGCTGGCTTCTAATGAGAGGGTCTCTATAGTGTCTAAGAGGCATTTGTGATGTGTGTCCCAGCATTGACACTGTTCCCTCAGTTCATTAGGCTGAGCCAACTGTCTTGGCCAAACGAAGCAGGCTTCTGTGAAAGGAAAACACTTGAGGATGAGCATGTGTACCACACGTGCACGCAGTGGTGAAGGTGAGGGATTTCCAGCTCAGTGACAGGGAGACCTGTAAGGGATAACCTGCCACTACTCATGAAAGCCACAATCTGGCCTTCTCTGGGCTCTTCTCCTCTTACTTGTTCTGTGCTGCTTTGCTAGTGCTAAGTGACCTGGAGAATAAATCCCCTATGCCTATTAAAGAACCTCTGTTCTTTTCTAAATCTCTACTGCTTTCTCCGATCAACCCGTGAAGAATTGTATATGGTGCTCAAGAGATCAGTTTCAAGGTTAAAAAAAAAAAAGGTTTAGTTTTTTATACTCTTTTCATCACCACCACATCTCCCTTTAGAGCTCTTTGTTTTGTTTTTATATGTCTGTTCTTTTGCTGGCTGCTTTGCTGTTCTTGTTCAGTCTATAATATTTTATTTTGGAATGGAACATTTTTTTCAATTGGGAATTGCCTTCAAGCACCTAAGCCCACCAAACATCAGTGTTTGGAGTGGTATGGGGACCCCATAGAGTAATCTGGGGAGCAGAAAGGGGCAAAATTCTTCAGCCTTGTTACCCAACACAGGAACTGTATCCACTCCCTACAGTTCTTCCTTCTGAGAACAACCTTCATTGTCCCTAAAGGTTAAGGGAAAATCATCAAATGACTTTCCATATTCCAAGGCTTTTGTGTCCTTACAGAACATGTGATTGGCAGGGAGTCTCAGGGGCTAACTAACTGACTAGAAGCTCAGGCAATGAGTTTTATCTTAAGCTCTCCCATTTATGGTTAGTAACCTTGAGCTTACCACTAACTCTTCTCTGGCTCTAATCTTATCAAGTGATAAGTAGAAATAATTGGACCATCCATGGGGTTTTGCTAAGGAGAAATAATTGCGATGATTATAAAATTATTGTGGAAGAACAGAGTGCAGCATAAATGCTTAATAGTACAGCCAGCCTAAGCTTTTAATCTCTGGGAGCATCAGTGAACTTGAACTTAAGTGTATGAATTTGAACATGTGGTTGCTTTTCTCCTTCCCAGGTGTTATTTGAACTTGCCCGCTATCACGCCCCCTCCACCATCTTCCTGGACGAGCTGGAGTCAGTGATGAGTCAGAGAGGCACTGCTCCTGGGTAACAGACAGGGGGGGTTTTTTGGTCATCGCTTCTCCCCTCTTGTAAGTGTGTTTGATGGTCGGAAGCCCATCGACATTTACCAGCAGAATGAGCCTATTAATAAGCCCACAAATTTTCTGCAGACACATGGAAAGGTCTTTAAATTAGATCCTGTTAACTGAATAGCTGATTTAAGTAGTTTTTATAACCGGAGGAAATGTCCTCCTCCCTTCCCCCTTTCCCCACAGAGTGGTTTTCAGGACTGAAGATCACCCAGCCCCATAATCCCAGGCTGCCATCACGGTCTCGCTGGCCCAGAATAGCTGCCTGTGACCACTGCCTCTGGAGCCAGAGGGGCTGCCTGTGGGGAATGGGGTTGCAAAGGCTAAGGCCCAAGGGGCAGCCCTTGACAAGGTGTGTGAGGCCGGGGAAGCCACCACTTCTCTGTGACATCAGGTTGTGGCTCAGCCTCATTTTAAATATATCACATATGTTATCTCTAAAGATGAAGTGTCCACTAAAGTCCCCAGCAGGAAAGCACACATCTCAGACTGCAGTGAGCCTCCTGTGTGTGTGTGTTTTAAGAAAGTCTTTCTGTCTTCGTCAGAAGTATTCTTCTTTGAAACTTTTTACTAAACCTGGCTTGGAAAAACACATCTCTGGCAAATCTCAACACAGCTGCATTTATTAATGGCCTCTAATGGTCCATTATCAAGGCTGAACTAATAGTAATAAAAGGCAAATATTTAGCTTCTTGGATGTATAACTACAATATAATTTATGAAATTTTACTTATTGAAAATCATTTCCCTAATGGCAAAGCAACCATTAAGATGCACCCATGAGGCATGGCATTGATGGCACGGATTGAAATGGGACAGTTGCCATGGCTTAATGGGTGCTAGTGAGCCCCAGGCTGGGACACCCTGTCTCTCTCTTAGGACCTGATGGGAGCAGACCAGTGCACAGGCACCCAGCTGGGCACCCACCAGACAGATCAACCACCCCACTGGTCATTCCCTCTGCAAAGACCCGGCCCGCCTGGCCTGCCTCACCAGAGTGACCTGTGTGCTTGTTCTTCGTTCACTTGGTCCTTCTCCGCTCCCAGGGTTCCCCACAGCTTTGAACAGGCTGATTTGGGAACTTCATCAACTATCCTAGGGTGTACTCCAGGGTTTGTGTGGAATGTCAACTTCCTTGTCTAGAACTTGGACCCTAAAACTAGAGTCTTCAAAGGGCCAAGGAATAAGGGCAGGTGCTCTGAAGACTTCATGGGTCATATGATGTTAAAAGATTAATTATGAGTCATTGATAAATAAATATATAACTATGCTGTGAGACTGTCCTTTCTCTTAGGACAAGGCAGTTTGATGGTGAGTGGCACAGTTCTTAAAAAAAAAAAAAAACCACATACCTAATCTATGCTGCCACCGTGCACATGTAGAGATGAGAGGCTGGCTGTCGTGTGGTCCAAGAAATGGATTTTTTTGTCCTTTTACTTCAATCTCTACAAGAAAAGAGGAAGGAGAGCCTGCTGAATGTAGTCAGTACTTAGAGCCAGTCTACATTGTTAGGTCCTGTACTGAGGTCCTTCTTGCTGGAGGGGTCTTGGCCATGATGGAGGAGGGGCTCAGAGGGTGAATTCGCACGGAAGACAGCCCCCATCTGCTGTGTGGGGCAAGCATACTTTCCGTGTCATTGTCTTGTCTCTTATTAGAAGAGAATGAAACAGATTCCTCATGGTAGCTCATTTCTCCTCTTCAATAGATTATATCCACAAATTATACTAAAGGAAATACTGTGTATAAACGTACTTTCATGCCTGCTACCAAAATGGAAGGATTCTTCTCAATTACACTGTGTTTACCAAGGGCAGATAGCGCTGTAGGGGAACATGGTTGCTTTGAGTCCATTGGGGCTACTGTCTACTTTTCAACTCTTTTCTAGTTCACTGCCAGCCTTTGGTTTTCTTTTCAATATCGTCACTATATTCATTTACTTCCTTTCTATCACCCTCTATGTGAAAATAGTACCATATTGTTTGTTTCCTCCAACCCTAGTACGAGTGGCTCCTTAGAATGAGACAGGGAACCTGTTTTACAGGGACAGTCATTGATGTGAGTGCCAGTCTTGTCCTAGAAGCAAAGGCTCCACATCTTGCAATAATCTCCCCTCTGTGTCCCTTTGTAGTGGAGAACATGAAGGAAGCCTTCGGATGAAGACAGAATTACTGGTGCAAATGGATGGCCTGGCTCGCTCAGAAGATCTCGTGTTTGTCTTAGCAGCCTCTAACCTGCCATGGTAAGAGATCTTAGTACATTTTGAATACATTTTTAAAAAAGATTTATCAATTTGTGAGAGAGTGTGTGCAGGCACGCAGCAGGGAGAGGCAGAGAGAGATGGAAAGGGAATCTTAAGCAGACTCCCCACTGAGTGCAGAGCCCTATGTGGGGCTCAATCCCACCACCTGGGATCATGACCTGAGCCGAGACAGTCTAATGCTTAACTGACTGAGCTACTCAGGTGCCCCCTGATACATTTTCATGAGCCAGTGAGTACGGATGAAGACACTGTGTTGACCATTTTGGGCAAAGTCTCATGGTTTGGTTCCTGCCCTGGAAGATTAATCAGAAGTCTTTCCTGGTCAAGTCCTCAGTCCTTACTATCTGTACCAGGAAAGAATCTGCCTTAATAGAAGGAACATAGGCCAGGACTACCACTAACAATATTTAAAATGGACATTCTGGGGTGTCTGGGTGGCTCAGTTGGTTATGTGTCTGACTTCAGCTCAGGTCATAATCTCAGGGTCCTGGGATCGAGGTCCCATGTTGAGCCCCACGTCAGGGTCCATGCTCAGAGGGGAGTCTATTTCTCCCCCTCCCTCTGCCTCTCCCACTGCTTGTGATCTCTCTCTCAAATAAGTAAATAAATAAAATCTTTAAAAAAATAAAATGGACTTACATTTTGAGTTTCAAATCAAATTATTTACTCTATTTAAGTAGGGCTTTGGCAGAGAACTATAAAATGCTAAAATCTTCAGGCAGGATTCAAGGAATATTCCAGAAATGATATGCTTATACTTTAACAGTATTAAAATCAAACTCTTTTTTAAATTAGGAAAGTAAATAGAAAGCTAAATAATCTCTAATTGAAAATATAATCTACTCACAGAGTCTTTTATTCAAACTGTATCCCAGAGTGGTTTAAGAACAGTTCTAGAAGTGGAATTGGGAAATAAGAGAGGTTGACTAGGGAAAAACAGTATCTACTTGGAGAGTATATTTAAAAAAAATGATAATCCCTTTATAGTTCCAATACTATTTCACATACATTATTTCTTTTGAGCTGCAGGTAAGACAGGACACAGATAAGGAAGTGCTATTTTTCCCATTCAAAGACAGGGACCAAAGTCAAGGAAGGTCAATCCACCCAAAGTCAAAAGCAAATCTGCAACAGAGCTGGGACTTGTAACTTGTATCCCCCCCAAACTCACCCCTACCCCATCCATTTCTGTTTCCACATTCAAAGATGAAAGAGAAACTCTTCTGCTGTTTCTCTTGCTGGTCATCTAAGCTCCCAAATAAGTCACTAAAAAGATGTTCACATGTAATCTGTTATTTTAAATATATTCTTAATTTCAACCTGGCTCCAACTCCCCTCAAATTTATAAGATTTCACTAATGTGTAAGGTGATCAGCACTTTATTGTTCATGATAGAGGTATTTGCATACAATATTAAAGTGAAATCCACGCAGAGAACTGTCATTTAAATGTGATTGTGAAATCCTTCAGAGAAAGAATCTCCATTGCTTCATCCATTTGAAATAGGGTTGATCATAAGCACTTTACTCCTATCCCAGGTGATGTGGGAGTCAGCTGGAGAGGGTCTGTGTGTGGCTCCGGGAACATCTGTGTCCCCTGGGGAGACCTACACATTTTCTACAGGAAAAGAGAAACTTCTACTCCCAGGGAATATGTAGGACTTTGTTGAGGAAGTTACTGTGCTGCCACAGGTTCCCCGAGGTCATCAATTTTTGGTAAACACCAACTAAAATGATCAGAGAAGAAAAAAAAGGCTAACAATCAAATATTAAAGAAGTCTTTGAAGGCTTTTCCAGAAGAATTGCCCCTCATCTTGGCAAATGGTAAATACATGGCTTTGCCTACATCATGACAATGTACCGTGGAACCAATATGTTCTTTCTGACCCATCCTTTAGCAATGCTGGGCTCTAAAAAAAGCTTATTACGAAAACTTCCAGACACCAAAGAAGAGGAGAAAGCACCCATCATTTCCCAGTTTCAGTAACTAACATTTGCCTGATCGATTGATTTTTAAAGATTTTATTAATTTGAGAGAGAGAGAGCATGCACAGAAGGAGAGGGAGAAGCAGGCTTCCCACTGAGCAAGAAGCCCAGCACGGAGTTTGATCCCAGGATCCAGAAATCATGACCTGAGCTGAAGGCAGATGCTTAGCTGACTGAGCCACCCAGGCGCCCCTTGTCCACTGATTTAATCTATTCCTGCCCCCTCCCTCGTTTTGCTACAGTACCTTAAAATATATCCCAGATTGTTCTGTCCCTATCGTCATGTCACTTCTCACAAATATACCTCAGTAGACATCTTTCTAAAAAAGGACATTTTCTTCCATTACTGTACAATGCTGTTACTATCCCCAACAAAATCAACACCAATTCCTCCATATCATCTACTACCCAGTGTTTTTTCAGATTTCCCAGATTGTTCCAAGATGTCTTTTTACAGTTAATTTACTGAATTGATATCCAAATAAGGTTTGCATTTTGTAATTTCCCTTAAGCATCCTTTGATCTATAACAGACCTCCTCCCCTTTTTTTCCCACTTGCCATTGACTTGATCGTCAGGGAAACTGTCCTGTAATACGTCTGAAGAGTCTAGATCGTACTCACTATATCCTTTGATGGGAAAAATAATACTTAGGGAGAGCAATCTCATGATTACAGGCGCTCCTTGCTAACTGGATTATCATTCTTTCTTGGCCTTTTGATCAGGCAGAACTAGAGAAATACATAGTTTTAAAAAGAAGCAAATAATGACTTCATACTAGTGTTTCCCATTCAAATTTTAGATTACCAGAGCTTTAGTTAAATTACTTGATTTTATATTTGTACCTTTTCTCTAATTGTGAAAATCTTATTTCTTAACATTAATACAATTAATATTCACTCAATCCTAGGATGTAGATATATTTTGTATTTGTATATGGAACAGAGTTTCTCAGTAATGATACCAATACTCTCATGACAGCAACATTTTGATGAACATGACAGTACACACCTGGCCTGAAACAGAAGTGCTAAATCCAGATTTCTTCACCCCAGCACTACTGACATTTTGGGCCAGATAACGCTTTGTGGGGGCCTGTCCTATGCATTGTATGATGCTAGGCAGCATCTCTGGCCTTGCCTCACTAGATACCAGTAGCACTGCTCCCTATTGCAACAAAAATTATTTGTTTTCAGACATTGCCAAATGTTCCCTGGGCAGTAAAATCCTCCCCAGTTGAGACTCACTGAACAGAAGTAAGTGACAGACATTAAATAGAGACAAACTGTCACATGCTCCACAGATGAACTCTCAAGGTTTCTTTTAACTCCAAAAAATAATTGAATTTGGTTACACCAAAGGTGGCGTATGATATAAATTGTTCTGTACCTTGATTTTTTTCTGAACAAAATATTCTGAGCAGAAAGTTCATTCTTACTCCCTTGATAGCTGCGTATGTTCCATTTTGTGCATATGATAATCTGTCCCTGTCGCCCGGTGATGGGCATTTGGGTTATCCCTACTCTTGCTATTATGAATAACATTGCAGTGAATAATGGTACACATATATCACTTTGTGTATTTGCCAGTGTATCTCTGGGATAGGCTCCTGGAAATAGAATTGCTAGGTCAAAGGGTTAATGTACATGAAATTATAGTAGAGATTGCCAAATTTCCCTCCATAGAGGTTGTACATTTTGTATTCCCACTAGTGTCCTGCTTTCATTACTTAACATTATAGTGAGAACATTTCCAAAGTCATTAAATAATCCTTGAAAATTGGATTTTGTAATGGCTGTCCAAAATTCCCACATGTGAATATACCACAATTTAGTTAATCATTCCTTTCCTGTTGAACATATATGATGCTCCCAACTCTTCTCTATTATAAATAACACTGAAATGAACTTCCTTGAATAAAAATCTTTGACCAAAAAAATTTTTTTTTCTTTAGGACAGATTTCTGGAAGTAGGATTACCGTATAAAAGAACATGGATGGTTTTTAAGCTCCTTGCTACATACTGTCCAAGTCTATCTGTGAGGAGATACTACATTCTTATTAAGGCTATTGGAACATACCTTTATCTTGGCTTCAGGGTCTTATATGAGGGAACAAAATTATCTGATTAAAGCAGAATGTCCTTCTGGGGGAAATAACTAAATGATACCAAACTATATAAAAACCCAATCTTAAAATCCCCAAAGAGATTCTTCATGGTTAGTTACTGGTAGTTCTCACCCATAGCATCTTTCAGGGCACAAGGCTATCGTTTACTACTCGTTAACTTACCATTTTCCATGGGGGGAGTCCCTCTGTCTCAAAGGGTTGGTCATTTCTCCCTTCTCAGCAGTGAGACAGTGTGCAGCCTCTCCTCCAAGGGGCACCTCCCCTCATTTATAGCATCACAGAAAGGACCAGAAGGCTGTGTCATTCGATGTGTAAATCAGCAATGAGGAGAATAACAAATGTTGCACTTGTAATATATTATCACTAAAATAACAGCCATGTAAGAAATGTTTAGTGAGCACAATTAGGGCTAATTTGACCCGCCTCAATTGTTAAGTATGCACAACTCGGGCCTTAGAGCCTAGAGGGAAACAAAATACTGAACAGGGTCATTAAGGCAAACACCATCTTTGGATGTCTATTTAACTTGATGGTAGTTTGTACAAATAAGGTGTGAAAATTTTATGTGTGAAGTATGATGAAGCTCATCTCCTACTTCCTTCTGCAGAAGGGCTAGAGAATTCGCTATCCTTGTTAAAATTAAACACCACTGAGTATGACCAAACTTTGGATTAAAAACAAGTAAGCCTCAAGCCTAATATTCAGAAGAAAGCATAAGATCCAGGAGATTATTGCACTGGGAATGTTCAAGAACTTACTTTAAGTTCTTACTTATGTAAGTTCTTGAACTGACTTCGTCTTGTAGGAGCTGTCTCCTCTCTGATGAGATATTTCTATAAAAATGTGTGCATGGGATTGAAGAACTC